AGTACATAATGTATGGTAATGCTCTCTACAAAAGGGGGCAGACGGGTTATTATTGGAATGTTTAGGCCCAAAAGAAGCATTGACAGCCATGGCTGAGGTTCATGAAGGCATCTGTGGTGCTCATCAGCCTGGTGTGAAAATGAGATGGCTGCTTTAAAGACATTCCTACTATTGGCCAACCATCCTTAAAGATTGCATAGAACATGATAGAGATTGCCAGGCATGCCAAAGGTATGGCACAATAAGACATGCACCCATGGCTGATCTGCATGCGGTTGTTAAGCCTTGGCCGTTTAGAGGATGGGCTATGGATATGATTGGAAAAATACATCCACCATCTTCGAAGCATCATTGTTTCATCTTAGTGGCCACAGATTACTTCACTAAGTGGGTCGAAGCTAAACTGTATAAGGCTGTAGACCAGACCGAAGTTATTGGATTCATTAAAGATTTGATCCACATATTTGGCATCCCACAGACTATAACTGTTGATAATGAGACTATATTTGATGGAAAGATGGTAAAGGATTTTGTGGCAGAGTTTGGAATTAGCCTTGTTAATTCTACCCCTTATTATACACAAGCCAATGGTCAAGCAGAATCATCCAATAAATCTTTGAAGAAAGGAATACAGAAAGTTGTGGAAGACAATCCCAGGGATTGACATAACTTACTGTTGGATGTATGATGGGCTTATAGGACTTCTCTAAGATCAAGTACGTGAGTAACTCCTTATGCCTTAGTATATGGGCATGATGCAGTACTACCTGTAGAAATTAACATCAAGTTCTTGAGGGTGAGATGCCAGGATCAATTAGTTCCTGAGCAGTACCATTAGAGTATGATCTTAGAATTAGAGAACGCGGATGAAGCTAGAATTCTAACATTAAATAGCATTCTTTTCCAAAAGAAGAGAGCAGCCAAAAACTATAATAAGAGGGTCAAGTACATTAGCTTTGATGAAGGTGATTTGGTATGGAAAACAATACTCCCAATAGGGATTAAAAGCCATAAATTTGGCAAATGGTCACCTAACTGGGAAGGACCATATCAAGTTCATAGGGTCTTGCCATGGGGAACATATCATTTGAGAAATTTGAATGGATATGCACACCCCAAGAAAATTAATGACAGATATTTGAAGCCTTATTATCCAACCGTATGGGAAACACAAGAAATATAATAAGTGGTAAATGAAAGGAGCATGAAAACACTCAAATAATGAATAAGGATTTATTTCATAATGAGTTGAATACATGCAGTCATAGATTGGCCCAAAAGTCGATACAATGTTTCAGTTGTTTCTTTACAATTGACTCTCTACTCTTAAAAGATGGGAATAACTGAATGGTTGTAGCCATCTCCTACTTTCGATCAACCAGCCCTTGTTTAGTAATCTGCAGCTTGGTGACAGTTCGATCTAAAGCCAGGTTGACTGCTGATAACTCTTTTTCAAGCTGAGCTTTCTTCTCCAATAGTTGAGCTCAAAATTGGGAGACAGGAATGTTGTTTTTTTAATTCTGACACTTCAACATGTATCTGGGAAACAAATCTCTGGTCTCTCAGCAATTTCTCTTCTGCAGCTATGGCAACATGGCAGATGTTGATGTAAAAGTCAATGGTAGCCGCCGCCTGAGATAAATAACTTGAAATAGTCATGCTGAATTGCTTAACGATCTTGCAGCACTGGAGGAAGCCATTCTTGATGATAGGCCTTTGCAAGGCTTCGAAGAGGATCCTCGAAAAGAATGTTAGCAACTCCAAACAGCTGTCCAAGTCTAATGAAGGCAAAGAAGTCCTACTAGTGGAGGAAGAGCTCTCAAAAATTTCTAAGAGAGAATCAGCTAGGACTAATGGATTAGTTTCATTGCTAGCTGTTGGAGTGGTGGAAGGTATGTCAAAAAGGCTAGCTAGTCTAGCTTCAAAAATGTCCACTTTTTCTGTTGACATGTTTGGTGCAGAAAGGGCTCCGATAGGAGGAAAAGATGGCTGGATAGAGATAGGAGAGGGAGATGAAGTATCCCTAGCAGTTTCTATAGTCTTAGCTACCAGTAAATCGAGAGAAGAGGGACTGGAGCTAGGTAGGGATAGTGGACAAGGAATTAGTGAACTACCAGTGTCTTCTCTACGGGAATCAGCTATCACTGGAGATGAAGTAATAACTGGAACTTCCTCAGAAGGGGAAGGAGTAGCAAGGCTTGAAAGAAAAATAAATTGGGTAGAGTTGAAAGATAGAAAAGGAAAATATGGAGTTAAGCCGAAAAATAGGGATGCATGAATGCTTTGCCTCAGGAGAGGTATGAAAAATGTAGGACCAGGAAGTGGGAGTATTGCTTGAATTGGCTCCACAGCTCGAGATATTTCAATTTCAGATGAAATTGAAAGAGTCCTTATTGAAGGAGAAGGCAGAGTAGTTGTTGCTGCAAAAGAAGAAATACAAAGTAATGTTAAGTCTCAGTATCAAGAATTTGAGAAAAGAAAATAAAGGCACGAAAGAAATTACTGGTTTCATAAGTGGTGGCAATGATTGAAGAGCTGCTAAGGGTATAATGTTCAGCAGTTTGTTGTTTTCTTGCAGCTTCCCTTTGAAGTTCATTAGCAGCAACACTTCATCCTTAAGCACTTGATGTTGCCTTCTCTTCTCAGCCCTCTGAAATACAATAAGCTCTTTGGAATGTTCTGCCTCTACTGCTTTAGCAGATGCTTCATGAATAGGGTCTCCAGTGAAATCAGAAAGGGAGACAGTCATTTTCCTCATTCTTTTTAAGGGTGCCTCTTGCTCTTTTTTTGTCTCTTCTTTTTCTGCTTCTACATGAACCTCAGGTACGTCATCTTCAGGGTCAAGTAAGAGCTTTCTTTTCCTTTGTTGTTGTTGTTTGCTCTTGAGGGTACCTCCTCCTTCTTTTCCTTTGTTGTCAAGTAAGGTACCTCCTCTTCAGGGTCAAGTAAACCTCAGGTACCTCCAAAAAACCAATTTTTATCTACTTTATTTTATTTCCAGTTTTTACATTTTTTTTCTTTACATTTCTGTACTTCAAATTCCTGTACTACACTTCGTCCTTAGGAGTAGTTTTCAAATAGCTTGTTGCTGTAAACCTCTACGAGGCTGAATTAGATCATTGTAAGTTTTTCATTTGTACTTAATGAAATGCTACAATTGTTCTTCATTTAATCGTTGTTTACTTAATTCTCCTAAACAAAGCCACCAGTAAAAGTCTTCTTTATTGAAGTTGAAAGAACTGCAACACAATCGTCTGATAATTGGTTGGTAATTAATTTTCTATAAGGACTGATTGATCCTTGCTGGGACGTCTAAAATTACAATAATAACCTTCGAAAGCCAAAAATCCAACATATGCCTGTAACAAGCCCGCGGGGGACCTCGCTACAGCTCGGACTCAACTTGTAGTCACGGTTCTAAGTCTGAACCAAAGAGTTCAAATCCGGCAAATCGTTTTGAGAAAAACAGATTTTTGAAAGAAGTGCCAAACATGGACTGCTTTGCCAGATACAGAGTCGCCACCTAAATGTTTTTTTAATGGGAAATTTAGGAAACCCTGACTCGGTGCCAAAGGCCACGTGTCCGTCATCACCAAAGTTGCCTCGGCTCGGGAACTTGGGTACGATTGGGGAAGGTCATTTCGTGAGCACCCCCGCTCGCCCGATCAAAGATCGGCCTCTACTAACCATGATATCTATTTTTGAAAACATTGTATGTTCTTATTCCGGTTTATTAGCCTAGGTTACTATGTGATGCGCACAGCATACAAGTATAGACTGGATCGCCCGAATTGGAACAAAACATTTCATGCTTGTTTATTTGAAAGATGGTTTGCTACTCACAAGTAGGCTTAAAATACAGATTTTGCCACCCGCAGGTGGGCTTAGAAAAGATGGTTTTGCCACTATCTAGTGGGCTTAAAACAAACATTTGATGATTCATTCCAATCCAGATAACCCAACCTTCACCCACAGGCATTCAGGCAGTTATATCATATAAGCATTTAGCCTCATGGTAAGCATGCTATTCATGGCAGCACTCGCACGCATGCAAGGATGCTGAAGCATAAAGCTTACCGAGTACTCCAAGCCAAAATAGAAACTACATTAGAAATCATGCATGATCCTAAGTATACAAAAATGCCTAATGCAACACATGCAAAATGCAACTATAGCAGGCTCGGCTATTCTAAACATGGCATATGGAATGCGGCAACTAACATGTATTCAATTTGGAATTGAAAGTACAATGCAGTTAGTATGATGCGCCGAGCCCGGTGCATGCAAAACAGATGAATGAATGCAAACATGCTATCATACTGTATGCTAATTGAAACATGCCCTAATCTAACCATCGTAAGCTGGTAAATAAAAGGGAAGAAAGACGTGGGGTTGGAAGACATACAACACACACACGCACACTTATTACAGTTGTGCCCTCGCGCAGAGGGTCCGAATAAATATACAGTCCCAAATTAAAAGAATATTACAGTCCAAATGTTATACAAATTCCTAATTAATTAATGAATTAACTAAGAAAGCAGTAAAACTGGCATGCAAGCCAGGGACTGCCTTGCTTCTGATGAATGCTGTATGTTTGGGCTGCCTTGCGCGGAAATCCACTGGGATGCCCCAATTAGCCTCTGTTTACACCTGTTCTTGAAATGCGTGCCAAACCTCGGAATGCTTTTCTTAATGGCCATTTCATTGAGGAGGTTTACATGCGTCCTTCTGGCTTTCACCATTCCTCTGGACAGGTTTGTCGCCTTCGACGTGCTCTATGTGGTCTGAAGCAGTCTCCTCGTGCTTGGTATAATTGCTTTCAGATTGTTGTTACTGAGTTTGGGTTTCATCATTGTGCTTAGGACTCTGCCTTATTTCTTCTCCACACCTCAGTTGGATTTGTTGCATTATTACTCTATGTGAATGATATGATCATCACTAGCTTTGACTCTTCTGCTATCTCTGAGGTCAAGCAGCATCTCTTCCGCACCTTTGAGATGAAGGATCTTGGTCTTTTGCGGTATTTTCTTAGTATTAAAGTTGCTTCTTCTCTAAAAAGCTATTTTCTGTCTCAGGGTAAGTATGTTAATGAGGTCATTCACCGTGCTGATCTTATTGATACTAAGGTTTCTGATACACCTACTGAGCTTAATGTGAAGCTCAACTTTACTGATGGTGTCCCACTGGATGATCCCACTGGATATCGCGAGCTTGTGGGTTGCTTAGTTTATCTGAGGGTTACTCTTATTGATTTTGCCTATGCTGTGCATGTGGTTAGCCAGTTTGTTTCTGCTCCTCGCTCTCCACATTGTGCTGCATTTGTTCAGATTCTTCGCTATCTCCGAGGTGCTATTTTTCAGGGTTTACTATTGTCCTCTACTTCCTCTCTGGATTTAGTGGCCTATGCTGATTTTGATTGGGCTGGTGATGTTATTGATCGCAAGTTCATGTCTAGTTTCTATATGTTTCTTGGCTATTCCTTGATCTCTTGGAAAAGTAAGAAACAAACTGTTGTTGCTCCCTCTACTGCCAAAGCTGAGTAGCGTGCTATGGTTCATGTTACTACGGAGATTGTTTGGCTTCGTTGTTTATTATCTGATTTGGGTGTTCCTTAGTCTTCTTCGACCTCTCTCTATTGTGACAACCGCAGTGCTATTCAGATTGCCCACAATGCTGTCTTCCATGAACGAACGAAACACATTGAGATTGATTGTCACTTTGTCTAACAGCATCTGCAGTCTGACTCTATCTCGCTTCTTTTTGTCTCTTCAACTTTGCAATTTGTGGACTTCTTCACAAAGACTCACACTACCACTCGGTTTTAATTTCTTCGTAGCAAACTCTCAGTGTTTTCTGCTAAAACACCTTGAGTTTGCGGGGGTGTGAGAAATATATTGTGTATAGAATTAGGGAAGATTGTATTGTGTATAGAATTAGGAAAGATTGTGGTGGTGTAACTATTTGGATGTATTTTCTTTTTTCGTATTTTTCTTTTTCCATCATAGGTTTAGGGTTATATAAACTGGTGACCTCCTTATAAAGATGCACAATTGAATATACAGAAAACCATTCAGAAAACTTACAAACACAATTAGACCGAGGTGAAGAGCAGAACACAATTAGACCCAGGTGAGAACATCAGCTATAAAATTGATAGCAAATTACACATACCAAAGTGAGGGTTTTCTACTGTTTCTAATATGTGATTGTGCAAGATCATTATCAACTTGAGGGTACCATGGTAATGCAAGATTGCATGAACTATAGGGTGTCTAAATTCAAAATTTTTACTGATATTATATGACAGTGAGAGGAGTTGTTTTCTATAACAGTTTAATCATTTAATAAGTCTGCAAAAGAAAAATTCCTTGTCCCTTGGGAATAATCAGAGAAGCAGGTACAGTAAGTCCGACAACCAGGCATAGGATGATCCGTGAAACCAGTCAGATCATCCTACCAGTTGAGTTATTGAGCTTTCCTTGCCTAGTCGTGTGTAGGTCTTTGTCAGACCAAGTGATGGACATGATCTCTTGAAGGATATATGCCCAATCGTATTTGACTGGGGATGGGAAAGTTTGGCGCTGGCAACGAATCATTTACTAGAATCCCCAGAAGTATTGCTCCTTTTGCATATATTATTAGTTCAACTATACTTCCGCCATTCTGCGACTTATTTTTAATGAGCCTCGACTATTGGCCTTCCTTCTTGTAGCCAAAATCTTTGTAGTTCTTAGTTTTGGGGTTTGTGATTAGACTAAATCTATGAATAATGTTTTTAGAGTAAATTATTTTTGTCTGACTTAATGGTGTTTCTAGGAATGGATGCAACCAAATTGGGGAATCCTAATTCATACAAAAAGGCAGGAGGTTCTGCTCAAACTCGATTGACTGAACCATTCAACTCAGAGAGTAAGATAGATGAATTTTCCAGTGCCAAAGTTGTAGAGAGCAAAATGGATGAAATTCAGCCTGACAAGGAGCAGATGCAGACATCAAAACTGATTGCTGGTTCAGAAACCAAGCAAGCAAAGGGATTGCTACCAGAAGGCTTTTTTGATGACAAAGATGCTGATCTACGTGCACGCGGCATTACGCCTGTTAAGCTAGATGTCAAGTAAGTTTATACTTCTGTTTTATTATTTATTTATTTATTTATTATTGCAAGTTCATACTTCTGTTTAGACATGCATGTTGAATGATCTTATTCTTTTGACTCTGATGTTGATGTGATATTTTCTTTTCAATACCGTATTCTATTTTCTGTATCATGATCACGCAGTTTGGGGTCCCGAAAATGGGCTGTTAAGCACCGAAAGTGGCGTTCGGCCACGAAGTGGGCTTCTCAGACCCCAGTGTCCCTCAAAAGGGAGTAAAAAGGAAGTATGCCAAAAATCAGAGCAATAGGAGATGGTTAAGCGGTCCCGAACCGAGGCACACGGCCTGACGGCTCCGAAAACCGGAAACCGGACTCCGAAATAGGAAAAATGGCCTACGGCCACCAAATGTAGCCTATGGACATTGAGAGATGGCCTACGGGACCTCTCCCTTCCCTCAGGAAAAGAAACAAAGAAAACCGAGTCTGGTTCGCAAACCGAGGCAAGGTACGAAAGAGGGTTCAGAAGTCCGGAGGCAGGGCTCACGGCCGCAACTCTGAAACTTCTGAACAAGCACATTATGCAACATCACCAAGCGCTCAATCGGTGACGTCTGAGTCTTAAAGTCGGTCAAAAATGGGGTGTCTACAATGCCACGTGTTGAACTGTAATTGGTCTATACAAAATATGTAGCCAACATTACCCCTGTACTAATATACCCAATACTTGGTGATATTAGTGGATCAAGGTATTTTATCCACGTCTAAGAACATGCATGGGTTTTGCATTTTTTTTTTCAGAAATGCAACCGTCATTCATCAGTGAAACATTTGCATTAAATTCTCTTATATCCTTTGAACATTCTCACTATCTCAGTATTTGAAAAGACTGGTACAGCTCTCATGGCCAAGCAAACCTTTTTTTACCTCGATCAATCATATGAAGAGTTGCTTGATAATGCTGTTCGTCCTCGAAAGAACCTTCATGCATTGATTAGCCATCTTTACGTACCTTCCTATATTCAAGTCATGGAAGCTTTTGCAAACTATCAACCTTTGGATTACGAACCCATTGCCCACAATTCTTTAATCCAAAATTTTGCAAACATGGATATTGGAAGCTCTTCTTCTGACCCAAAATCTTCTACGTGGAATGAGGCTGCAGCTTCTTCTTCTGAGGCTTCTGGTTGGAGAAGCTAGCCAGAACCTGAGAAGTCCAAGTTAAGAGAGCGAATCAATCATCATTTTGTTGAATTTGTTGATCCTCTAACTTTCCCTCCATTTGCTTGGAGTTCGGTGGTTTACCCATATGTGCCCATCGACCGCCGACGCCGTTTGGAAGACAACTTACTTGTAGCATGGTACACATCTTCCATGCCTACGAAGATAGTACAAGCCACTCGTCGTCCAGAAGAGGCTCAAGGGTATAGCCCGCCATTCTTAGCCCAGAAGGCAAAACTTTGCTCTTCTGACTGGCTTGATATCGTCAGCAACCCCCAATTTTCTCCTCCTTTTGAGATGGAATCTCCTGCACCCCCTCTTCTGCAAAACCCTCACTGGATGGAGGAACTGAGACTTACTCTCATTGAGGACCAGTTTCTCCCCTCCTACAATCCTTCATCTCCCCCTACTAAATTTTAGCAACAGCAAGCCCAACTTCTGCTTGCGGCCTTTTCTTACTTGTCCTTCAATGTTCTCGAGGACGATGTTCCTCTTAAGAACTTTCGATGGGCTTGTGATGTTATGACCTGGGGTCATGTCCTTATTCCCATCGCCCAAGCAGAACTCCAGATGTTTTTAGACCAACTCTCACTGCTTCTTTATTGGCATCACATTTTTGTGGCCACCACTTGATCTTTGGACCAAATCTTAGCATGTCGAGTTCATACCCGGTATGAAGCAGAGAACCTCATCGACGAATATGATGATTTCAAGAATAAAGACTCTGCATACTGGGATGACTTGAACATAGATGAGATAGAACAAGGGTTGAAAGAAACAGAGTTTGAAATAAAGGCCGAAAAACTTTTTTATCAAGTAAGAGCATATCAACTTCAGCAGCCTAGCCTGTAGAAGATAGAAGATAGAATAAAAAAGGAACAAAAGTTCATTGACCATAGCTGGAACAAGTTCCATGACCTTGTCATTTATTCTATTCCTTATTTTTATAAACTTGAATATGTAGCCAAGGAAGGCTTTTGATGTAATTGCTTTTGTCTTAATAAAGCTAAGATGTTTTCTCTTTATTTGGCATGGTCTGATTTTACTCCATTTATCAAAAACAAACAAAATTAGGGCTTCGAATTCACCAATTTCGTCCTTCGAAACTCGATTCGATCATACCTAATGAAATACTAGAAACCCAATTTGAACTTTTCCAACATATGGAGTGTAATCGACAACTTTTGCCTTAGGTCTCCTTTCAGAATCAGAGCTTCGAATTCACCAATTTGGCCATTCGAAACTTGATTTGATCATATCTAATTCTGCAACATATGGTTAATACAATCAAGTAGTTTTAAATCAACTAATTTTTCGCTTTGAACAAATAGTCTATATTTTCCAAAATATAGAAACCTCTTTTAAGGACTGCACTGTTGTATTCTAAAAAAGTGATTTCTTTTGTATACTACTAAACCAACTATTGGTTTGAAACCTAGAACAAATAAATTCTAACCGTAAGGTATTTCAAAATTTGCTTCGAAGGATTTCACTCTAATCAAGAAACCAAAAAACAGGTCTTTAATCTTTTTGAAGTAAACAAATACCTAGTCATTCATGCACCCTTAGGTGTGTAATGTGCTTCGAAGTCGACTTCCTGCTTTCGAAACTGTTTGTCACTTGATTTTGGCACCAAAACTTGGCTTCGAAGCCAAACATTTTATTTCAAAGCTAGCATTAGTATTTGAGATACGTTTCCCTTCATAATTACCAACATTGAGGGAAGCTTTTCGCACCCGTACCTTTAGTACTTCTTTATGAATTGTGCCCATATAAAATGACTGGGTGTTTTTCAGACAGAAAGGTTTAGAAACCCTTTTATTTTGTGCTCCCAATTCACTTGGTCGCCTAACACACAAACCATTCATCTTCTGTCTGTTGGCTTTCTCTTTTCCCTTTACTGTTTTTTCCAACTTCGTATTCTGAAAAAACTCTCTATCAATGGCTTCTTCTTCCTTGAAAATACCGGTTGTGGAGCGTGCGAGTCCATCTGTAGCCTTGAAAAGGATCATTGATGAAGAGTGTGAGAAGTACAAGGCTGGTGAGAAGAGTGCCATCGATGGACGTATCTTCATTCCCGTCATTATGAGCAACAAGAATACGTGCTTGGGCCCATTTTTAAGGAGATTCCCACTGAGCTCTCAGCTCTATACCCTCGTCTAGAAGATCATTATCTCCTTTATGAAGGTGGTCTTGATTGGGGAAGCTGGAGGATGAACTGACCCTGTCGTTGCTGGCCCACAGTAAGACCAGAATGGGAGAAATGGTATGATCGGGTCGTTCCTGATAGGACACTGGATCTTTAGAAGCTCTGCCTCCTCGACGCCCTTCAATTATCCAGGCTCACCATTTCAGAGGATCCTTTTTTAATACTTACTGCTCTTTGTTTTTGGAATTCAGCTTTCAATTTTTTCCAATTCAGATGTGGGATGATGGCTCCTACTGTCTTTGACATCTGTCATCTTTTAGGATTATCCCTTATTGGTACCCCAATTGGTCCAGACCTCAAAACCCCTTTTTCCCTTCCCTCTTTGAACTCATCCTATAGTGACTTTGTCAAGGTTGAGAACAAAAGAGAGGACCCTGTGATTGATAAGGAATTTTTTTCTTTTATATTGTATTGGCTTTGCAAATTCCTCTTCTGTACCTCTTCTCAGAGGATCATGCTTGAATTTGCCCATCTTACCAAAGCCTTTGTCTTACAAAGAAATGTGGCCTTAGCTCCATACATTCTAGGTCATGTCTATAGAGCTTGTTCCATTTTTTGTGAAAAACCCTTGGATGCCAATCAGGGAGGCCCATTTTGGATACTTCAACTTTGGCTTTTTACATACTTCACCGATTTACAGTCTAAATGCCTAAAGTTTTTGGAGCCAAACCCTACCACCCATGGCATGAAGTTAGCTAATGTTTCACTCTATCCTTCTAACTTTGCTTTTTACTTTTCTTTCTTCCATCAACTCCCAGCTTTCCTTTCTTCTCTTAGCTTTCGTCCCTTCGAAACCACCAATATTGGCCCATCCTGGTTGAGGACCTTTTTGAGTGATAAGTCTTGTTCTACACCCCAGTACAAAAATATGTGTGCCTCTATTTTGATTCCCAAGGAACTATTCATTGGGACTATGAACCCCAGAGCTTACAAGTGCATCTCTAAGCCCTATTGTCTTGCCCAATTTGTTAGGCAATTTAGATTCTCACAAGGGGTCCCTATTCCGCTCTGCAGTCAGACCAATTTAAGCCTTACCAGCAAGGATCTGAAGATTCGAAAATCTAGATTGGAAAAAGCAACTTCCAAATTCATCTAAGTTTTAATTGACTTTGAGTACCTACCCTTCATACCTCAAAGCAACATACTGAAAAGGTGCCAGAACTGGTGGATGACCAATATAGAGGTGCAGTTGGCCATTCCTCTTCGAGATCTATTAATGGTACTGGATGTACCTCAAGCCAAGTCCAAAGGGAAGGTCGGAAAGGTGCATAATAACTTTAAACATACAAAATAAAATGCGACATCACATAAGCAACGGAATTTATTTCAGAAGTAGCATTGACATGACAAAAATAAAATAAAATAAAATAAAACTACAATATGAATACCAATATATGCAGGGTCTTGCTAACAAGTGCTCTTGGGACACGAAAAGTAGACCCCAAATTTTTTTTTGAAAACACAAGGCACCTTTTATTAAATTTAATGCAGTTTTTATTGAAATTAATGCACTTCTTTTAATTGTTTGACCTATTTTCAAGAAACTTCTTTATTTCAATCCCAATATTTAGCACTTTTAGCATTTGTCATATACA